ATAATAATAATAAAAAAAATCTTTACTCAATGGAGACTAAATTAAGAAATCAACAAATATTTTTCCAGTTTTGTTTATACATTTCATTTTATACTGTCAATACACAGACTAACAACAATAGTAGGTTATACTATTGTTGCTAAGCAACATAACATAAAAGCCATTGTTGGAATGCAGTGTTACCAAAATGCACTAGGTTTTCCATATATTAGAAGTTGTTAATCTAACTCATTTTTAACCAATAATTATTCTGTGAACATGCCACAAATTCATTTCACGAATGATCTTAATTTTGATTGGCTCACAAAGGAATTTACCTATGTTTGACTGTCTCGACTGCATTTTTCTACTGTTTTTGTTGTTCAAGCCTGATTCCGCAAAATTTATTTATTTCAGTTGACTATGAAATCTTAAGTTAGGGTATACTATGGAGTGGGGGTGGTAGTACTTGCCCTGTCATTTTTGATGGGCTATATGCTAGTTGCTACAATAAACACACACACACACACACACACACACACACACACATACTTGTAGTACTGACTATTCTCATGCTATATTTTCTTCTAAACCAAAATTATGCTCTTTGTCATATTTAGTTAAATGTGTCACTGTTATTTAATTGACATTTTTTAACTTTTTTTTCTTTCTCCCTCCATATATCCTATTTATTATTCTTGTTTTCTTTTTCTTTTTTAATGGAAATGACAAATAGATATAAATGGATATATTTAATGCATACTAGACAAATTAACTTATTTAATAAGTACACAAATATTTACTATGTGACACTTATTGAAAAGCATTGGGCTTTTTGAACAACTGTGTCAATATTTCACTTCACATTAATCTTGTAAATTTATGAATCCTTACTTTTAAGATGGCTGGCTTTCTATTATTCTCTTATGTGTAGAAAGATCCTGGATAAATGCTTACAAGTGTAATACTGGTCAATTAAAATAGTTTTTCTTATTTGGAATTTTAGGCACTTTTTTTAAATGAAATGATATTTTTTTTTTCTCATTAAACATAATTTCAGTTTTCAACACACAAAAAGTACCTTGATTGATTCTTGTAGCTGAGAGTTATCTTCTTGGAGCCACTGTTGAACAAAACTCTGATGTTCCAGCAAATTATACTCATCTTCACTCTCACTACTCAAGTAATAATCCTTGGAGAAAAATATGAGACAAACTTACTATGTCAACGTAAGTACAATAATTCAGTTAATTTTTTTATTAAATTTTTGAAGGAAAACTTCTCAAACATGTAACAAGAATATTCAACTTTGCAAAAAAAAATAAAATAAATACATAAAATCTCTTCTAATCCACTGAACTTACTTTAAAATAATTGGAAAATTTATGTTCTACATAATACAAACTAAAAACCTATTCCAAAAGGAATGTGTTTTTAAATTTTGCATTAAAACCCAAGGGATATGCCATTACACTTTTGATACAGATTAAATACTGTAACTACAGTGTACCACATCTTAAAATCTCAAATTCAGTCCACAAAATTATTTTCTTATTTATGATTTTTACATCCATTAGTAAGCAAAGTATAGTAATTTATCTTGTATCTTTGTTGCACTGGTAAAAATATGGTATATGAAATGTTTTGCAAGTTTAAAAATTGATATGTAGTAAGTCTTGAAAATTACTTATGAAGCATCTATTTGTAAATTTTCAATGATAACCGATGTTTCATCAATCACAAATGTACATTTCAATTAAAAAAAAAGTCTACTGCATAACCATAAAAACATTCCTTTCACATTATATTTTACATTCCTTCCTGGATGTCATTACAAGAACACTGAAAGTGTGACTCAATTTCTTTAACAATATTTTTCAGAAAAAAAAAAAAGACAATTTTACATTTTGTTGAAATTTACCATATCGTTTATAATGATCCAAACCAGATTAAAACACTTATATTTTATAAAACTGAATGATCTCAAATTTGGTCAGACAGCTACAACTCATAACTAACTCTAAACCTCAGATTCCAGGAGGAAAAACTTAGGTGAAAATTAGAGAGAGAAAAATATTATTTTGCCTAAACAACACCTTTTATTACAGTGTACGTGTTACAGTAATAATTTTTACATACTGACTCACCCTTGAGTACTTCAGATTAGGTAAATCACATTCCTCATATTCTTCACTGCTGGAATGTCCAGAGGCTGATGACTGGATGGAACTGAGAGATACACTGTGTGGAGGATCCTGTTCATGCTTTTTCCTTTGTTGACTATCCTATAAGGAAAGAATCACTAATACGTCAAAGTTACTCTAAAAAAAAGTGAAAAGTGTTTCTTGAGAGTAAGCTTGTAACCATTAAGTTTTGATAGAACATGAACATGTTATATCACTCAACAAATCTAGAAACTAATCTTAGATTCCAACTTTTCTTAGTTGTCATTTCTAACCACAAATTCATTTTAAATCAGATAGTATTACAAAAAAAATAAAAATAAATGTACAGTAGATACTCTTTACCTGTTTCAGAGAAATCTTTACAAGTATCAAACTAAGTGTTCTATTTCCTGTAATATTAGATTCACTAGTTTAAAATAAGACAAACTATTGTATAATTTTTTTTGTAGTATAAATGCTTTTCAACATTGAAAATCTATGAAGTGATTAGAAACAGTTCATTCAATAATATGTTTAACAGCGGCTACTAAAGAAGTTGTATCTGTATTTTGTATTTATGGCAAAGCTACTACGGCTATCTGCTACTGTCTCCAATTTTGAACTATTGACCAGAAGGAAGACAGCCAGTCACCAACACCCTACCATCTATGATAAGAAATTGAATGTTACTCTTTATAATGTATCCATGGCCTAAAGTGAGGTAAATATTTTATGGTATTGCAAGTATTTTAACCCAAATCACCAGCTCTGAAATCCAGAGCTCAACCACAGAACCATACCATGCGTACTAAAGACATTAAAAAATATTAATATGTTAATATAATAAATAATTAATAGAGTTCCATAATAGTAGCTGTTAAAAAAACAAAAGAGATATAATGAACAGAGTTTTCACACAAGCTTTGCCTATTCAATATATGTCTCCATTTATTGAATAGGCAAGCTTAAAAAAACACTGCTATTGAACCTTTAAATGCATTCCTTATAAACCACCATAAAAATTTTTTCCAATTAAAAACATACGGGTTTAATTTTTGTTAAAATTATGTGTACTAACAAAAATGCTCTTATATTCCCATGGATTATCCATGTACAAAGTAACTTTTCTTGGCTGTGTTTTAGTAGACTAGTATTTTGTAAAATACAGTCACATTTCAATTATTATACATTATATCTGTATATAAATTATTGCTATTTTGAAATAAGAATATTAAACTTATTTTTCTGAAAACATAGAATGGTAACTAAAGAAGTAAAGCAAAGAATT